GTTATTTAGATACACCCTGTATAATATATTTCGCGACTGGCTGAATGGCAAGTGCCAAAGACAAAAAAAAATCGAATGTTTTTTTTTTTAATTCCCAGTTCGCGAACCGCCAATGGAATTTGTCTGACGACGATTGTTCGTCTATTATTTAGATACATACACTAATGATCAGGGATCCCAGGAAGAATGAGACAAAAATACAAATTTTGCGTGTTACAGATAAAGAGGCAAAACCGGTTTTCTATTCCCTCGAATTCAAGAATAGTTACCCTGATGTACCGAGCCTAAATTCGTAAGCTTGATCATGAAAAATCGTGAGAAATCGTGAGTTTGTTCTGCGCATGCGCAGTTTAGCGAAATATATACAGGGTGGCCACTTTTTTAATGGGATTGTATTAGTAATTTCCAAACCATACTAGTTAGAAAGTCGGTTAAATGGAGAAAAAGTTGCCTATCTCGAAGCATAATCTAGCGGTGAAAATTAATCGAAAATAGCAGGCCCGGCTCTTGAGATATTTCGATAAAAGGAAATTCGATCTTTTCGGTTTTTTGGTTATCGTTCATTTATTTTCAGAACTACTAAAAAATATTTTAAAGGTTTTTTATTTGATAGTAAATTTTCTTTGATTTGACGTTTTCATATTTTGCATCCAACGTTTCGTATTCTCCAGACCACCCTCAACTTATTTTTTTTAAATATGGACCTGGATATTTTATAACATTATTTGAAATAACTTTTTGTCCTGCATCCAGCGGTGTATTACACAATGGCATTCAATGACGGTTTTGGGGTAATATGGACCGTAATCCAAATTTTATTTAATTTACGCTTGGTTTCAGCCATCTTTAGTTGAATCAGCATGTCATGCTCCTCGATAAAAAAATAAAATCAATTCTTACAAAATTTATGTAATTTTTCGAAAATTAAACAATTCATCAACAACAACAATAGTAATGTAGAAATTTTAAAGCGCAATTAATAATCATAATCAAATTATTTGAAAATATCAATAAAATTAATTTAGTAATTGTTCAAAATGCCTGCCATCTTCTTCAATACATTTAGCAATTCTGATATTCATATTTCTTATGCTATTGCTTATTTCTTCTTCTTGGATATCTTCCAATGCATCTTCAATCTTTTCGCGGAGAATCTCAATTGTTGCATTTGGTGTATTATACACTTTATTTTTGAGACGTCCTCACAAATAAAAATCTAATGGATTCAGATCTGGCGATCTGGCAGGCCACGCCACTGGACCTCTTGTTCCAATCCATGAATTGGGAAAAGTCTGATTCAAATAATCCGTGACCATTCTTGAATTGTGTGGACCACATCCATCTTGTTGGAACCAGATTTCGTTAAGACGATACTCTAAAGGAAGATCATCTAACATCCTGCAGTATATCTAAATATTTTTCTGCAGTAAGGTTTCCGTCAATAAAGTATGGTCCCAGTAATTTATTATTTAACAAACCGCACCACATATTCAAAGAGAAACGATATTGATGTCTCACTTCTTGGATTAGGTGAGGATTTTCCGTGGCATAAAAATGTTTATTTCTTCGATTGAACATACCAGAATTTGTAAATGTTGTTTCGTCTCCCCAAATGATATTGTGTGCAAAGTTGTTATTAATTCTTACCTTTTGTTTAAACCAATTACAAAATCGCAATCTTCTTTCAGGATCATTACGATATAGTTTTTGTACAGCTTGGTATTTGTAATCATGGTATCCGTGTCTCTTGAATATCTTATTAACAGCACTTTTTGATAAGTTACATTCACCTGCAATAGTCCTCGACCCAACTCCTGGATTTATTCGAATTTGAGCTAAGACATTAATATCGTTGACTGGCTCCTTTCTTCGAACATACGGAACTCTAGCTTTATCGAATGTATTATGTTCGAGAAGAGTTGTAGACAAACGCCAAAATTTTTTTATATTTGGTTGCATTCTGTTGGGATATAAATCCTCGTACCTTTGTTTTGCTCTGAACGAATTTCTGTTCAGTTTGATGTATAATTCGTACATATCTCGTCTTTCTTCTGCAGTGTATCTTACCATATTGAAGTTAGACTAGGTACCAAGAAACACACAAAAAACTTTTGAACAATGAGAAATTTTCGTAAAGCAATAAAGAACAACATAATAATAATGTGACAGTTCTTGTAATATGGATTGTTTTCACGGCCTACTATATTTTATATCAAGTAAGATGATATTAGTTTAAAATCATATCAATTGCTGTGCCAATAATAAAATAATATTTTGCCTTCAAATTTGGGTATTGTCAAAAATAGAATCGAGAATATCTTTTAATCATTTACCTTACCAAAACATACTTTTTAATAGTCGAATAATTGAATAATTATTAATTCTCATTTATTTTTTCCTAATTATAATCACTTTATCTTCGAAGTATTATACACTGAAAAAATTAACGCTGATTATAAATTCAATACAGATGATCCGTACCAATAAAATTTGGATTACGGTCCATATTACCCAAAAACTGTCAGTGAATGCCATTGTGTAATACACCGCTGGATGCAGGATAAAAAGTTATTTCAAATAATGTTATAAAATACCCAGGCCCATATTTAAAAAAAAAAGTTGATGGTGGTCTGGAGAATACGAAACGTTGGATGCAAAATATGAAAACGTCAAATCAAAGCAAATTTACTATGAAATAAAAAACCTTTAAAATATTTTTTAGTAGTTCTGAAAATAAATGAACGATAACCAAAAAACCAAAATGATCGAATTTCCTTTTATCGAAATATCTCAAGAACCGTGCCTGCTATTTTCGATTAATTTTCACCGCTAGATTATGCTTCGAGATACGCAACTTTTTCTCCATTTAACCGACTTTCTAACTAGTATGGTTTGGAAATTACTAATACAATCCCATTAAAAAAGTGGCCACCCTGTATATAGTATTTTCGATTTGATGTACTTTGTCCGAGCGAAGAACAAGGAATGACCGACTTTTAAATCTCAGTACATCTCTATCGATAGTGTGTTACTACCGAAAACTATAGATTGTTCGATAGTTTAAATTTACATGTTTTTAGTAGTTTTCAAGTTCATTTTCACGGAATTCGATCAAAAAAACTAAAATTAAAAATAAACCGAACTTATAAGAATGCTCTCAGCAAATTCAGCACTATAGATGATAAATCTGTTTTAAAGGTTGCCCTAATTTTTTAACGTACGCACGCCATAAATGTGACTCCTGCCTAGTGTTGCCACCTTTTTGAAAAGTGAATAAAGGAAAAAAGTCGACGAGTGTGTAACAAAAACAAGCCCTCGTGCTTCTATCGAGCTTCTAAAAAAAAGCTTCCTTATCTTTGTACAACCACCCAAGTTCCTTTCAAAGATATCAAAAAGCAAAACAGGACATATGCTGTAAAAAAGGACATTTTAAGATTTAAAAAGTCGCAAGGACCTTTTGCTTCAGAAAAGGACAGGTGGCACCCCTGCTCCTGGCTCCACCTATTTTCTTATGTCTCTACTTACCTACTGGATTTTTTAACATTTTTAATTTCAAATATTATTTTTCTACTATAAGTAAAATGTATTACTTTACTATAACTACGTATCAACCGTTGAATCAACGTTGGTATAGTTTCGATAGTACTATTGATATTAGTGGCGGGTTTTGGGGGTCAGAACCCCCCCATAGGGTTCCTCGCGTCGCAATTTCCGCTTTAGCACTGATCGCTATTAACTGTTGGTTTTTATTCACTTTGTTAATGGAACCTCCCATAGTTCTCAAAAACCCCTCCCATGAAAAATGGCTGCTACACCACTGATTGATATTAACTCTTGAGACTATTGAAAAATATCGATGGGGACAAATATGGAAAGTATCCGACCACTTGCTGGGGACTGTCAAGTGTTAGTCGTCCGTTCTATACAGAAAAAATTAAATTATGTAAAAAGTACATACTCTAATCTAGGCATGCCCGATGTTAAAACAGCTTAACCGCAAGTCTTACAGTTTTCACAATAAGTGTTTACTTTTGTCACTTTCTTTGTTTTTAATTGTTTATGTTTGTAACAGTCTATGCAATTTCTCCTACATTTTCTTTCTGGTCCATCTTTACGTTTCAAGCAATGATTTCCTTTTGAAAAATATGTACTCGACTCATTAGGCGGGGGTTGTTGTTGTTTTGACAATTATTGTACATCCAGTTTTTCTCAACACGCTAACAATCGAGTTTTAACTAAACAAAACTAGCATGTACTGGGACGATCCTCTTGGGTACCTATAAAATAGTTGTCTTTAAGAACACACTTTTTTATCGACCTCGTAAGTACCTATGGCAAAGTTTACAGATTTCAGTGCCAGCCGAATCGAAATCTTATCAATTATATGAATTAGTCCCCAATGTGTTAAGGGTCGATTATATAGTCTGTCTTTTGTTGTTGAACTCTTTTGTCATTGGTTTGTTTACTGGAGACTTGCATGCATCGTGATGTCTCTGCAAAGCTGTAGATAGAGGGTAAGAAGTGAATAAAAATAGACCTTTGATAATCGGATAGGAAGCCTTTAACCTATTTTTTCATTTTCTGTTATAATATAGAAGTATTTACTTAGCATGGATCATATTTCTTAGAGGTCCAGGCATTCTTTTGTTTAAGTTTTTTATTGCTAAGGCATTGATAAAAATTATGCACTTGGAAATGTTTATTAAAATTTTAATAGCTGTAGGTCTGTTCTTTTAAAATTTTTGAATTATAGCGTTATCAGGAATTAATGAAAATAAGCATGTTTAGGAGTGTGAATTTAAAAAAGTAACAATTTTTCTGTTTTTTTTTTATTTTCTTTTTAATAAACATAATATGTATTTATTGTTTTATCTGACTGAGGATGGCTTTATGCATTTGTTATGATTTTTTTGTTTCTGACTTTTCCACCACTTCAGACCTTTACTTATGGTATTCGACTCAAATAAATATCCATTAAAGATATAAAATATTTGTTTCAGGGATGGTATATTATCACATATGCTTTAGGTATATATCACTTAAATTTGTTTATAGCCTTTCTGACACCAAAAATTGATCCAGCAATGGACTTTGATGGTAAGTTTTTTAAACGAAACTGTAAAGTATAATTTTCATTCATGATGATAAATAAAAAGTCTCAATACAAGACTTCTTACCTTATTTTATAGAAAGCCTTTAAAAAAATGGATTTAATTAAATTTAGTTTAAAATAGCAAGAAAAACTAATTTTTCATTAATAATCCAAAGAATGATTTACTACAGATTACTATCATTAAATAAGTCAGTGAAATAGTACAATCTAAAACAAAATTGGAAACAAACTGAAAAATATTTTTGTTAAAAAAGGCCAAATAAAAATAGTCGAAACAGTACTTCTAATATTTTTAAACTCCCCGCCACAAAATTCCGCCACCTTAAAATTTTAACCGAGTTTGATGCTTTAAAACTTTTTTATGTTTCATCCTATTTTTATGAATTTTGTATATAAAGTTATTGTGATTTTTTTTGTTAATTGTAATAAGTAACATTTATCGTTTAGGCAATATTATACAAGGGTAAATCAAAATGTTGCTTTTTCTCGCAACTTTAAAACACCTTGTAGCAAAATTGAGGCGGATAATTTAGTCTACGTACTGTCAGATGTATTCCTTTTAATGACGAAGCGATTATCAGTTACAGTGGTCATTCTCCTTCTATCAGAGCCTTGCTGCCGAGTAAAGTTTCCCGTCTGTAAATACCTGTTGCAAGCATCTCGAACTGTAGACTGCGGAATTCCCAGAGTACGGGCGTTATAATTCTTAGTACGACCATCCTCTCTATCTGTAACGTGTGGAGGGTAGGTTACCCACACGGCACTTAGGCGTCATTAGGCCCATTCTGCATCCTCCAGCCTACAGATTTAATGTAGTTGACAACGTCGCCAAGAGTTGCTTCTCTTATATCGGCCGGTGCTAGCCAATACTCGCCGAACACAAATATTCTAATAAATGAGAGCGTCGAGCAATCGTAAAGGATATGCTCGATGGTCTCATCTTCTTGTTCGCACCCTCTACAGAGTGCGGATTCTGATAGCCCCATGATATGGAGATGCTTTTGTACTTGGCAATGATCAGTCAGAATGTCTGTGACTAGGCGCAGATTCTGTCTAGTCATAGTCAAGTATTTGTTTGCTGCAGTGTTGTCAGGATAACTTAAGAGCTCCCTGGCAACTCTGCAGTTTCTTGCTTCATCCCATGTTTCCTTGAATTTCACAAGGGAATGTTCTTTGATTAGGTATGTTACTACCGATTTTGTCAGGCCAATAGAAGGGTCAGGTCCAAAAAGTATTTGGTTGACTGCTTTCTTGGCTAGTGAATCAGCAAGACGGTTACCTTTCGATGTGGCGTGATCTTTGATCCATCTTAAGATGACCCACATTGTTGATGGATACTTCGGCCAGAGCTTCGTGACATTCTAATACTAACCCTGAGTAAATTCGTGGTCTGTTCAGGGTGAGTAGTGTTTGTCTGCTATCTGTATAGATGAGCATGTTCCTTCCAGTGATATTGTTTCTGGTTATTTCTTTTGCTGCTATGAGAATCCCCGTTAGCTTTGTTTGAACTACACTGGCACTATTGCTCACAGCCCATTTTATGTTTAGGTTTAAGAATCTGGAGTATATTCCACATCCTGAGCCTTGTTTTGTATTAGAACCGTCGGTGTAGATATGAATCGTACCTGCCATTTCCGGCTCTTCTATTTGTTCTACTATAACTTTATATGGCTTATGGAAGATATATCTCGGTGAGATGGAGTCCATGTTCGCTTGAAGTAGTGGGAGCGTATCGAGCACCTCCTGCCAAAAGCGACGTCTTGTCTCACCAGATCCTACATCAGGTTCTATTCCAACCGTGTGGAGGCGTGTCATTGTCGTCAGAGCAACCTCCTTGATGTAAATATCAAGGGGAGTAAGACTAAGAATGACTTTCATGGCTTGGTCGGTGTCGTTTTCATGGCTCCTGTTATGTTGAGATATGCTGTTCTCTGAATTTGCCCTAATTTACGGATAGCTGTTAATTTTTGGGTTTTCGGTACCCAGACAACTGCACCGTATGTTAACATAGGTCTTATGATAGCAGTGTAAGTCCATGCGACGACTCTGGGGGAGAAACCCCAGGTGCGCCCCACGGTTCGGCGGCATTGTTCATAAGCAATGTATGCTCTTTTGACACTGTTTTCTAAATGCGAGTAACTTGCTGTCAAAGGTGAGATCTAAGTACTTTACCTCTGTTGCAAAGTTTAGTTTTGTGTTTAGGAGTTCTGGTGATTTTAATTCCATTTTCATCCTTTTCCTTGTGAAAAGGATCATTTTAGTCTTCTTAGGATTGATAGACAGTGAATGCTCCTTGCACCACTGTTCGATAATTTTTAGAGCTACTTGAATTCATTCGCAGAGTATGTTCTCAAAATTCCCTGTTTGCAGAATGACCAGGTCATCTGCATATGCTATTGTGTAGTGACTGTCATTATTGAGGTGGCTGATGAGGGTGTCGAGGACCATATTCCACAGTAGAGGTGATAGCACCCCTCCTTGTGGACATCCCCTCGCAACCAAACCTCATATTCACATTTTCTACACTTATGTTTACTGCTCGCTTTAAGAGCATATTATGTATCCACCGACTATCATTTGTGGAACATTCCTGTTGGTTAGTGAGTGTATTATCTTTGGGAAGGTGGTTTTATCAAAAGCACCTTCTACTAGATGAAGGGCTGAATCAGTAGATCTGCCTGTGGTGTATGCATGTTGGTTTGGGTGTAGTGGTGTTGTTGTAATCACCACATCCGTTATGTACCTTTCGCATAGACTTTCCAATCTCTTCATGGAAAACAATGTCAGACTAATTGGTCGGTATGTTTTTGGGACAGTGTAATCCATCCTTCCAGGTTTGGGTATAAATACCATTTTTACCTCTCTCCATTTTTTAGGGACATACCTCAGAGCCAACGAGGATCTAAATATACCCACCAGTTGCGGTGTGAGTTCTTCCAGACCCCACTGAAATAGGGCTGGATAGATACCGTCAGGTCCTGGCGATTGTTTGGCAGTTTGCCAATCATAGACAGATGGATTGTATTCTTCCTCTGCCCAGTCTGTGATGATCGAGTCAGGGAAGTGTGTTGACAGCAGAAGTTTGATGCTATATTCGAGGTTGGCGGTTTTCGTGCCATCTTCTTTGATTAGCGTACCAATGCTTCGGTGTGGATCTTTTGAGAGAGCTTTTTCAATCCTCTCTGTCTGCGGGAAATTTTCGATACGACCATCCTCTATTAGAGCAACAATTGGAACCGTAATACCATTATAACAATACACAATTCTAATTAGGCATCCCAACGACCTGTCAAACAATAGGTGCCAGTGGGAAGTTCTTGTATATCTAAGGGAATAGCGGCATAGTCTTGCGTCTTGGACGCTATTTTTATTCGAAATAGTAGTCACCAAGCCTGCCAATTTATGAAAAAATATATAAGCGGGTTTTTTAAATATTATTTTTATTGTGTTTGACATAAAATATTTAAATGTAATTCATTATTCGTGATTTTACGTATAGTAGATAGAATACATCGTATGTCGCAACCCTTAGATATACCAGACCTTCCCACTGGCAATTCATTTGTTTGGAATGCATAATACGGAACTGTCAATGTCAAACATTGTCACAATAATCACGTACTTAGCCAACTTCGATAATTTTTAGCCAATAACTTGTCATCCATTTTTTAAAATTAATTAAAATTAACAGTTTTATTAAAAAAATGCATCTCACAGAAGAAATGAGATAATGGGATAAATCAAGAAGAAAATTACAGCAAAGAGTATGTAAACAAAACTATCCGCCTCAATTTTGCTACAAGGTGTTTTGAAGTTGCCTCAAAAACATTTTCATTTACCCCTGTATAATGCTGCCTAAATGAAAAATGTTACTAATTACAATAATTTAAAAAAATCGCATTAAATTTATATACAACCTGGTAGAAAATTCATAAAAATAGGATAAAACATAGTTATAAGGCATCAAACTTGGTCCAAATTTTAGGGTATGCTAAATATTTAAATATGCTAATACGTTCAACTGAACGAATATATTTCATATCCATTTTAGGTAGTGAGAACACAGCAAAAAATTAAATCCACTAATCACAGTTCATATTTTGGACACCCAAGTACTATTATTTTAATAATTTTAAATAATTGACGCTTCTGTCAAACTAATTGTCACTATATTTTTCAGTTATTGGGATTAAATATGCATTAAAATGAGTTATTTTTGTGTAGAATCGATAAATGAAGCATTTTTATTTGGACCACATTTTGAAAAAAAAATTATTTATACTCTATGAAACTAATTACGAGTAATAAAACTAAAATCCTGAAAGTGGCGGTGGCGGTCTGCCTTCCACGCAAAAATTCCGGATTCGAATCTGGGCTGGGGACTAATTAAATAAATTAGATCTTTTTTTAATTTTATTTTACTGTTTTATAAATTAGTAAAATTCATATATTATTTTAAAATTAGGTATTTTGTCTTAATAACCTAAAATATTTTTTTAAAGTTGTATATTTTCGGTAATGGGTCCTAGAAAAAATGTACTGTACAACTTGAGTGGATTGTCTGTATCCACTTTTGTTGCACAAACTACTATTTTTTTTTTGTTTAGCGGAAGAAAATGGACCCGAACTTCCTACGAGAGCCAATGAAGAATTTAGGCCTTTTATAAGGAGGCTGCCAGAATTCAAATTTTGGTATTCAGTGACCAAAAGTACAGTGATTGGCATAATTTGTACATTCTTCGATTGTTTTAACATCCCTGTTTTCTGGCCAATATTAGTCATGTATTTCATTACGTTATTCTGCATTACTATGAAACGACAAATTAGGGTAAGAATGTATTTCTATAACTCATACATGTGTTGTTTTTATTATGTCAATTGAGTAACATTTACAAATAATACACGAGTCGTACATAGCTATTGTAAGCAAATAATTTTCCTGTTTAAGACTTTTATCATTAAAAGCATAAATTGAATAGAAAATTTTACACCTCTATTTTATAGCCGATCAAATGTTATTTTAAAAAGTTTCCATAACAACCAGAATAAAATTCCGGAAATTTTCTCTTGCTAGGTACCTTGCATGAAATTACACTGGAAGTTTTTTCACATTTGAGAAGCTCTTTCATGCACATGATATTACGACGCGACGGTGTGATTAAAAAAGTTGCCATTTTAATTGTAAAAATGGTATTTAATACCAATTAGATAGAAATAAACTATATTTATTTTGAGTAAAATAATAATTAGGATTTTTGCGACAACTAAATGACTTCAAATATGACTAATACACATAACTGGCATGGCCAACTTTGTAAATTTAATTTTAGTCGTTTTAATTCATGTCTGTCAAGTTTTGATATTTTGGCGTAAAATTTTCTTACCAATTACCACACGTAAGTAAATTATTTCCGGAAATTTTTTCGAACTCACAAATATTTTGAAAATTATCAAGAGGAATAATTTTCCTAAAACTAAGAATTGAATAGTGTTAATAATACAAAATTAAAACTAATCTATTCGTCCTGTGTCTGCTCGAAACATTTGATCGGCGAGTTTTCGGCAAGTTAATGCCAAGGTGTACCCTCTTCGCATTTTCTTATTGCTCGATATTTTGTTGCCTGAATAACATTTTGATCATTGAACAAGTTCGCAATTTCAATTTTGGGCAACCGTCCAACTAAGCTTGCGAATTTCAAGTTAATATGACATTTTGACTTCATACTTATAATAGGGTCCAGACACGCCGTGCGAGGTTTTTAAACGCACTCCTGTTATTGAATAAATTTGACGTTTGTCAATAACAAGGAAACATTATTTGTTTACGACGTTAAATACAATAAAAATTTCAAAGTCAACTTTTTCTCAAATTTTATGTCGCATACGTTACAATCCAATTCATTACTCTACAATTTCATAATAATTACGAGGGTGGTTTGACGGAAGAGTGACTTTTCAGATGTTGGCAACACTTTGACTACGGTAATTATATTGAGGAAAGTCTAAATGCTCACCAAATGGAAAAACGGTGTTTCCAGTTGTATTAGTCTTCTTCTCGCCTTTTCATGTTTTCTTTTTTATGAATACATAACGTAACTGACATTCGGTCACTTTTAAAAGTGTGGTTAGAGAAGCATGTATGTTTTGAATTTAATTTAGAAGTAAAGTGAATGTAAATGTAAATAATGAATTTTGCTTGGTATTTATTTCTGATTGATGATAACTAATTTATCTTTAATAATAGTTTTGCATTTATCAACATTTTACAACACTTTGTTTATATAAAACATCTATTTAGCTCTTAATTAAATCACATTTAAATCAAGTAATTACATTTTCATATTCAACTTTTGTATTCTTATTAGAACTTAGTCACTTTTTTTAATTTGAATTTTTTGACTGTGGTAACCGAGCCCATTCACCAAACCACAAACTTAGTCACTTACAAATGTTGAAAGAGAATGTCATAAACAAATTCCTTCTTCGCTATGATGTTTTCCATGCAATTTTAGGTTGTAAACGTTTTGTCCAACACCTCTTTTTCAATTTATCCCAAGCAACACTATGAAAGATTTAAATCCTGGATTTACAGCATTCACTTTTGAGTTAAGTGCAGTCACAACGCAGTTTCAGAGATACTTTTCACATTTACACTTATTTACCACAGCACAAACGCATGTACCTATTCATGTAACATTAAAATAAAGTGGAAACAAATTGCATAATTTGGTATATACAAAAATACAATATGTTTTAATTCGACATTCGACTACGAGGAAAACAGTGGTTCATTCCACTTCTACCATATTAACATTATTATGCACGATGCACGTTAAAAGTAGATCTGTCACTGTGTTTATAATACTATTACGGCAGGACAAACGATAACCGTGGCTTTAGCCAAACGAACATCAGAAAAGTGTTGCCAACTTAAGCTGACTACTATTTCCCCCCTAGCCTCAGTCACCCTTTCATCAATTTACTGGGTCTATGTCGCGACCCCCATAGATATACCAGCCCTGGTGTTGCTGTTGCCTGTCAAAAGTTTCAAATAATTTTTACAGACAAAAATCGTTAGAAATAATAAAGGGACCGAGCCTAAACTGAAATTAAAGGCTTATGGTAAGATTTTCGAGTATTATTCTGAAAATATAATTCACTATTATTAAATTAATTGCAGCCTATCCACCCTACATTTAAAAGCAGACGACATGGTTTCTTACAACAAATAGCAAGAAAAGTCAAAGGGCTTTACTAAAAGAACTTACATTGTTGAAAAAAAAAATGGTTTTCTACAGGAACTTTTTAGTAAAAAGTAGTCATAAATAATTTTATAGAAGAAAACAAGGACCCCTTGGACTTCAAAAGAAACATAAAATGTATATTTTTATCAGAAATAAAAAATATATTTTGTCAGTTTCTAGGATATATGAACAGTATAATATACTTAAAAAAAATAATAAAACAACAATAACCCAGTTTTATTACAATAATCTATAAATATAGGTACTTGGCTAGTTTATAAACTGGCTGGATGATGGAAAATCATATTTCTACTAAAATGGCTATTAATATTGGTTGGTTTGTATACTGTCCAGCTAGTTTACAAACTATACAAGATTTATAGCCAAAGTACAAACTACAAGAAAGGTATACAAATTAACTCATGTTTTTGGCTAGTTTACAAACTATCCACAGTACTCGGATAAGGTGTGAACTTAATATTCGTAGTAATACATAATAACTAACTCGTCAGTTACTATGCAAAATGACCAATCATCTTTGGTTAATTTATTAAAAAAGTGAAGAAATGTTTATGGTACATAAGTGTTGTGTCTACTGGGGTGTCTGGTAAAATTTGTTTAAGATTATAGTGATATAGTACTTAATATTTTGATGAAACTTTTATTTGTTTTACTTATTTTTTAATAGTAATGGTAATGATATGTTTTAACTATAAATAAACTTTATTTTTGACTATCCTAAACTAAATTAACCAAAGAGAATTGGTCAGTTTACACACTAACCGACGAGTTGGTTGTTATGTGTTACTATGAATATTATGTCCACAATGTATTCAAATACTTTAGATAGTTTGTAAACTAGTCAAAAACAGAGGTTAATTTGTGTACTTTTCTTGTATTTTGTACTTTAGTGATAAATCTTATATAGTTTGTAAACTATCTGGATAATATACAAACCAACCAATATAGCTATTTTAGTAGAAATATAATTTTCCATCAAAACAGCCAGCCATTTGGATAATTTGTATACTATCCAGCTAGTCTATAAACTAGCCAAGTGAACACTTTAACCGTAACATATACATATAATACACAGAGGAGATATTACATGTACTTGGAGTACTTAAATAAATCATCCAAGACCATATCTTAGATTTATTTTAGCAACGTACTTTTGTAAAGTTGAAATCCCCATCAAGGGATACTTTAGAGGTAAAGATGGCACCTTTTACTCAAATATCTTCTGAATGCCTTACAAACTTCTTCTCGACTCTAAAAGGCTCTTGTTTTCTTCTTTAAAATTATTGGTAACCATGTACTTTTTACTAAAAACTTCCTGTAGCAAATCCTTTTTTCAAAAATGTATGTTCTTTTAGTAAAGCCCTTTGACTTCTTTGCTCTCGGTTGTTTTTAATGTTTGTAAGAATCCATCTCGTCTGTAGGATGGACAAAAATGCAATTAATTTAAAAATAGTGAATAATATTTGCAGAATATACTCTAAAATCTTACCATTAATCTTTAATTTCAGTTTAGACTTAGAATTTATTCTAACGATTTTTGTGTGTAAACAGTACAAAGTCATCTGTCAAAATTTTACATAAATCTGACAGATTAGTTTTAATACTCATATAAAGAAAACTGTTTTGTTCCATCACGACAATGCGCCTGTCCATTCGTCCGCTATTGTTGCAGAAAAATTAGCAGAACTGCGTTACTATTTATTGCCTTATTTACCTGATTTGGCTCCCTCCGATTACTTTGTGTTCCCAGACTTAAATAAATGGCTTGGCGGAAAGCGATTTCAGACAAATGAAGAGGTGATGGCAGAGACAAACGCGTATCTTGCGGAACTTCTGAAAAATTATTTTTTTGGATGGTTTGAAAAAATTGGAAACTCGCTAGGCTAAGTTTGTAGAGTTAAAAAGAGATTATGTTGAAAAATAAAATATATTTTTTACAGTAAAATATATTTTTTACAGTAAAGTAACTTTTTTATTTGAAAAGTCACTCTTCCGTTAAACCGCCCTCGTATACATACATTCATTTGTTTCAAAAAGACACCTTGTTGCGAGATTTTTCGCTACCCCATATATTATACTATTTAGATTAGAAAAATACAGCTTATACTAATTCTAATTTTGTTTTCAGCATATGATAAAATACCGGTATTTACCATTTACCCATGGCAAACCAAAATACCAGGGGCATGAAGAAACGACAGGGAAGGTGATTATATCTCCAAAGTGACGGAGATTGTAATTTATTTAAATAATTTAAAAAAACATTTTGAAAATTTGTATACAAAAATAAAAGTATTTAGAACAAGAGATTCGTTACTTTAGGCAATCGTAACTAAGAAAAGTGTAATTTCTTTTGTACATATTCATCAGGTTTACAAAGTTTACACACTTTTATTCGAAAAATATTTTTCGATTAAATTTCAATGTATATATATATATATATATATACGTATATGTAAGGTTTGGAGAGATCCTGTGGATATTAGAATGTATTTCGTTTCCTAATTAAGAAAAAGGATTTGAACACCAATATTGTTAAAACCTATTCTGCAAATAAGGTTTTCTGGTAATCATACTTTTTTGTAGTGAAACACCTTATTTAAATCTTTCTATAGGGTAAATGGCAGATGTTGAATTTATAGATTTATATGTATGATTGTAATTTCAGACTAATTGTAAATTATCTCCTAAAAGGCAAACAATCTGTTCATGCTATTAAAATTATAAACAAATGAAATTGATATAAATTTTCTTTCATCTTCCGCCTTACCATAAATGTACATATTCTTTGCTCATCTCTCTATAATCATTATGTTAAATAACATATTCACTCTTTTTTACTACAAGAAATTACCTGAATAATTGTAGATCATTTTGATATTTGAAAACCAGAAAACCTAATTTTATGATTTTTATAAATGTCCTCCCGCTTGCATTAATAAGCTTATTTTTATAGAAATAACATTTACGTTCATAAGATCCGACCTAAATAAAGGTGTATTTATGTAACAACATTCACATTTTTTTCAAAAAATTATTTTCCTGGCACTTTAGCATAAAATTATTACAATAAAAAAACCAAATTCGTGATTCATTGATTAATCGTTCGAAGAGCATGAATGTATACTAGTTTTTAAATTGCTGAGCCTATTTTATTTTCTTTGTTGCTCCATTGCTTCAAGATGTAAATTACCGAATCTATATTTTAATATTCATTAGATTAACTCTTTTTCCTCCTATTGTAATAAGATATGAAGGGAAGAATTTAAAAAAGTTTAAATGTGCAACGCAACTCTTATTTAATAATCTGATGTGACCAAGACATGAATTTCCTGTCTAGTTATTACAGGCTTTTTCCGGTTATTTTAAATTTATCCTTAAATTTTTCCATTATGGTCCATTTTAAAGAAATCATATATAAAATAAAAATTATAATATCGCAAAAATTTTTTTTTTTAATTATAATATTGCCTCTTTTGTCAAATTTCTCGAATACGGACCATATTAGGAAAATTATTTATACAAACAAAATTATAGAGAATAACATTACAAGTAACTTTTATTTAAAGAATTTTCTTTTCCAAGCGTAGATAACAGATATATTCCATAAAATAGAAAAATGACACCAAAATGTTCCGACTATGCCCAAAATCAGTTCACCGCAGGCCGAAATAAAACTTAAGTTTAAAACTTGGTGTTGTTCTCTATATCCGTTCATGACTTATCGAATATACACACTCCGACATCGCGAAAATAGTCAAAACGGACTCGGGGGACCCCAAAACGTAAAAATCTGTCGAAAAAAAATCATGATTCCTATACTTTTCCTTATCTGTATATAGACAGGAAAGTAAAAATAATGACTACAAAGTATTTAAATCGTGACAAAATAGTCTTTGAATAATTATAAAAAGTGTTAGGGCCATCATTTCCCAACGGAAATATGATTAAGGGACGGATACTGTCAGATTTTTATGGACTCCTCTGTGAGTGAACCCCAGAAAGCAGAGCCTCTGCGGGAAAAGTATCTATTATTATTTTCCGACGCCCATCATCTACATGAATCCCACTGAGGTTGAAATGTGAATGTATTATCAACAGAAATTAAATTACTGCTGAAAAATGCTCATTGTCAAAACACAATGTCGGTTCCACTAAATACCAGATTAAATAATTGACCCCTTGACTCATTGGGCTACCGAGACGATAAAAGCATTAAGAGCAAAAATAATTGGGGCCCCTAACTATTCTTCCGTGTTCATAGGTGTCTCATAAAAAAATTATTTAATTGAACTCCAGATACCAAAATCAACGGGAATCATGGGGTTCGTGGGGGGCCAAGTAATAGGATCTGTTCTTTTAATACCATTTAAAAAACTTGATTTCATAATCGACTTGGAATACTATATTTTGTTTGTTTAGTTGCTCCGTCTTTAACTATATTACATTAGATTCAAGAGGAGTTGGACATTTGTCCATTGCGACCTTTTCAAATCCATTGTAGAATTCCGTTGTTTAGAATGTGTCATCTAGCAATTTCTTTTATTAGACTCTAGCTTTGACAGTGACTCCCACATGTAATTACATGCTTTTGGCTTTTCTTCGCACTGTGTTAGAAACTTTAAACTTTCCAGGTCTTCACATTGGCACAGGACGTAGATTGGTATTTCCTCTTCTTCGTCGTAAAACCTGCACCATATAGCTTCTGCTGGATCGATGACACTCATGTTCCAACTAAGGCTACAGTGTCCGGTAAGAACTACCGTTACTCTAATGATTTGTCTTTTTTGATCCAGTAGATCTTTTGTAAACTTGGGCGACGCTTTTTTAATGAACTCTGTCTGTCTCAATCGTGGATAGTTGGTTCACAATGCCTTAGCAACTCCACAGATAGGATCGGAGCCTGTCATAGCCTTCTCGGGCTCATACGTCGGCCTTTTGTTTTAACTGCTTAATTATGTCAAGTTTTCTAGCTTTTCACCAGCCGTGACTTGGCTGCCAGAGTAGACGGCAATAGTTTTGTCTCGGGCTTATTTATTATTTCGCTCGCACAGTGTTGGATGGTCTATCAGTTCGGCCTGGAACACTTGCATGTTTTTTTAGACTCTGCTAAATTGTTGTTTGCGACTTGGGTCCAAAGATTCCAACACCACGACTCGTTCAATGGTTTTTAAACCGTCTGTATACCAGCACAAAAATGTTACATTAAAATATTTATATTGTATAAATATTACGAAACGTCCCAGAAACATTTCTGAAATATAAATATGTCCTGTAAATTTAATATTTCTGGAATATCAATGCAACATACATGCGTTATTACACTGTACTATTTGTATTAGACTAAAAAGACATTTAAAAATATACATGTTTATTATATAAAATTAAACATTATTTTATAAAATATAAATGTGAATCGCTTTTTTTCCACCAATTCCTTTTGAATGCATTAACCTGAAACAAATATAGGTTCTTAAAAAAGGATTTGAAACAAATTATTTGATTAACAGTAGTTTAATGAATATTTTTTTAAATTAATTATATTAAAAGAAAATACTCATGCTTAAACAAAATATGTACATTTTTCAATCAGAGCTGCAGAACTAATTAACAAATGTAAGTTATTATATTTCGATAAAACTGACACTTAAACTGCAAATTTGATAAATGAAATGGCGTCACTCTTTACAGTGAATGAGATAAAGTAAAACCTAACCTCAACTTCTAGACATATTCCGCTTTCCATACATGGACCATACAAATCACAACGCACAAATAACAAAAAAAAGCAAATTGCAAAAACCTCGAGTTAAAGCTCTTGGGCTCTAATCAGATTATTAATGCCAAAAATGATGTCTCATCAAATTGATATTGAAATATTCTCGAGATTTAGATTCAACAAAAATAGCCGACTATTATCAAGGTCTTAGTATATTACCCTTGAATATCTAGTGAATTGATATTATTATTCGATCTTCACGAGAATCACTCATTTTTAATAATATATATTTCTTAAATCTCAATGACTAAAAAATATACTGACAATTAGTTTGACTGAATTATTGTCACTTATTTAAAAATTTTAAATAGAAAAATAGACCGGTCATTAAATATGAACTGTGATTAGTAGATTTCATATCCATTCAGTGTCCTTACAAGAATGGATATGAAATTATATCCGTTCAGTAGAACGCAATGGCCTAGTTTTTCGTTCTGTAGCTGTGCGTAGAATAGATCTATGCATGTGGGAATAGCAAAAGTCATTAATAATATTGTTGAGAAACTGTTTTTTAACTGGCTAGATTTCTATCTAAAATGTGAACACATAAAATTATAACGATATTAAATTCTTAAATTTGACACTTTTTAATAATACAAGTCATTATGTTAAATCATCATATTTATAATCTAGGTAGGTATTTTGAAGTTTATTTAGGCCAAGCCCATTTATAATAGTGTGAAAAATTAATAACTTTTAAATGCAAGTAAGCTGTGAGAAACATAGCACTTTCTATAGCAATCATAGAAAAAATCTATTATTTTTCTTTTTTTTTTTCATTAACTCATAACATCTTACTCGTAAAATAACCCAAGTAATACTAAACAGGACGAATCCTAATTTTAAACATTTTTGCTTTACGTTCCTTATATTTTTATCTCTAGAAATACTATTACAAAACTATAATGATTTACTGACACCCTAGTTTTTGTTTTCTGTGATGTTTACTAATGAAACTTTTGTCAGGAAAATATGTTTTTAAAGTATTTTTAATTTTTTTTAGGCCAATACTGGCAATAGTGAGGCCGATGTAATACAGCTTTGATTTCAAAATAAAAAAGAAGCTTTGGGATACTTGTTATTAAGCAAAAATAACTTACTGAAGACTGGAAAGTGGTTGTTTTGTTACCCCCTCAAGTATTTATTTTGGATTTGTATTAAACAAATTATTATGAATGATCTGTATCTTCTATTAAAGCTCAAATTATATTTAGTTGTACATAAATACGCCTTTACTGTTGACAAAACTTATTAAACGAGTATTTTCTATTCGGGTGGTAAGTCGTTATAAGTTTGTACTGTATCATTGCGGGAGAGGAAATCTATTAAAATAATCTGAAAATCTGTTAAAGTTTTTAATTTCCAAAAAAGCTACTAGTCAGATTTGCTTTTATTTTAAAATTTAATTATCTAATGGAGCACTTAAAACTTGAATTTTGTGGCTTGCCATTCAATTGTAGTCTTCCTTTGATATATTAACATTCCAACTATCTTCATAATTCGAGGATAACAAAGTAAAAATTATTTTCAAAAAAGTGATAAACCAAATTAATGTATTTTAATGTATCAAGGTTAACTTAAAAAGTAATAAATCTGTAGTAAATAACAAAATATTGTTGCAAATCTGCAAATAACTAAGCGATTTACCATTCATACCAATCTAAGTACTGTTTTAAAATAAATGGCATTTTTGTCGACAGTATTAATTATTATTGATTCTACGAATAGGGTATTACGATGTACAAAGATACTATTATATGTAATTATTTTTTTGTTAGTTTGTTTACACGGATTTATTTTAAAATTAAACGTATTTGTTCCATTCTCCAAAATGAGTTTTAAATTACATACCCTATGGATAAATGAAAGTTTTCTTAAAAAACTAAGGTCTTTTATTGATTGTTTCTAAGACGCTCAGACGCAGCGGATTCTACGCGGTTGCAACCGCGCGATTCGAACGCAACAGCGGCACAACTAACACAAAAACAAATAAATTATTTTACACTATTCAATCGAAAAGTGTCAAAATAACATACCTTTAGTATGTTTATCGTGGTTATACCGTAAACTAGGGGGAGAGAGATGGGGATAATCGCCATGACTTTCATGGGGTGTGAACGAAAGACGTTAACTGATATTTTAAAAAGTTAATTATCATTGTTTCCTAACTTGTTTTATTCTTTTTAAGTTAGTGTCATTGTTAGGGTTGCCACCTGTCCTTTTTTGAACAGAACAGTCCTTTTTTGAAGCAAAATGTCCTTGTGACTTTTTAAAGCTTAAAATGTCCTGTTTTTCTACGACTATGAAGATTAGAGATAAGGTGGCGAATTAGAGTAAGATCCCAGAGCGATAAGACAACTTATTTTCTAAAAGATGAAACTTTAAGTTCTCAGTAGTGTCTCATGTACTTTGTATATCTGCGTGTTTGTGAAGTTTGCCCAGTGACACCTGGGCAGGTATCAGGTGAGAAAGGTGACTAAAAATAAGAGTTACTTAACTTAAATTTATATGTCTGATTTTTATGTATATTTAATAGAATATCATTCTCAAGTAGTATCGCAAGTATCAGACACTTTCCATGGACCAAAACTTTTGTCAGACGCTTTAAAGCTCCACCAAAAATAAATGAACTTCACTTATTTTTTAATGTCTGATTTTTGAATATGTTATATGAACATTTATACCAAAACATAATCATAACATTGTGTTCAATTGATAAATGTGTACCAAAACCAGATAATAGGCATATAACTTATTTTTGCTAAATATATTTAGTCCGATTCTTAATAGTTTTTCTGCCAAAACAAGATAAAGACCAAAACCGAGGGGAAACCAATAAGGTCAAAACGTACCTGTATTTCGGAAATCACTTAAAACACTTTTATGTAATTTAGGTGATTTTACTGAAAATCCATCTTAATTTTTTACGATGATCTTTTTTTCTCGCCATTTCAGATTATGATTGCCGAATTGATTTCGACCATGATTTTTGGAATTTTCGAGAAAATGTGTAGTGATTTCCAGTGAAAACGTAGCAGTATTTCGGAACTGGTTTGCCGCTACTTGTTTTTGTTGAAATATTACAACATTGTGCCCACGCCATTTGTTTTGTTATGACTAGAGCCTTTGCTGGCCTTTCTCGATTGTACCGAAATCCACGAGATGATTACGTCACCCTTTCTTTCCGCGATACAGTTAACCTTAAAAAACTACTAGATAATAACACGTGATGTTGGAATCTCCGTGGTGAACGAGTGATTGGTCAAGATGCAACGGGTGATTCGTCAAGCTGTAACGAGTGATTCGTCAAGTCGTAACGAGCAAATCTTTATGTGAAAATTCGTAAATAAAAGTATTAGTGGTAACAGGCGAATATGAATTTTAACCCTACTTTCTAATAGATAACGTATCGAAAGATTCAGCAATCCTAAATACATTCCACCAGAAAAATAGATTTAATTTATCAATGGGCGAGGGTGGGTAATTGGGCTTTATATGCCAAATTCGCACAGTATTTATTCAGAGGGATGCATGAAAGGATGAAACAAAGTTTTGAAAATAATTACAAAGAAGTGCAAGAAGAAAGATTTACTAAAATTTTGCAAAATCAGATACACCTGATGAATTTCACCATTATTATCACAATCTACCTGTATCCAATAATGTTTCTGAAGATAGTGACACATACATTGAATTATGATTTGCATGTAGAGCTAAAATAAGCTAAGTGACGTTTTTTCTCTTTTTTTACCAATTATTGATAGATTATTAGTTTATACTTTGTGAACAATGTTTTCAATACCTTCTTCATTGAAGTTAATAAACGGTTTGAAGCTTTTACTGATTTTTTATTCAGCTTTAAACGTTTGAATAGTGTTTTACCGAAACTTTAAAAATGTGAGTTATCTTGTTTTTGCAGTAACACAATGGGATATATTTATGTTTTGTGTTTTATTTATTAGAGGTCCCCACCAACTAATTTTAGATAGATGTCCTAAAAAAGGTCATCATCCAAAAATATTGCGGCCCGTGTAACATAGCACATATAGGAATGTGGCCCGAAGGAAAAAAAGGTTGAGTATGGCTGTTCTAAACGTTTAGGATCCTATAAAAAATATTTTCAATGATTAAATTGAAGTTCAATAAAGAAAAATAACTCTTCGTATAACATCAAAAAACATAAAAAAAAAGCAAATTTTCTCTTCTAGCAAGTTAAATTTAATGTGTAATTATTGTTGTTTGTAAGTCAGGATTTATGACTTTATTATTTTTTATTATAGAATTTTGTAATTAAATAAACTACACGTAAGATACGGGTTGTGACTATTTTACAATAAATATATATTATTTAGAAATAAATACATTATTTTACTTACACTAGGAGCTTTAAAAAGACTTGGATTTTTATCTCCTTGTGTTTTCTTTAATTTTATATCGGATTTATATCCCGAAACCAAAGCTCAGCCTTGGTTTCTTTGAACACTTAGTCGCGATGAGCGAACAGTCCGTCAACCGCTGAGGACATCTATTTTCGCCCGAGGTGGTTTGTTAAAAAATATAGAAAATGAGTTGTACGTGCTGTTTATGTATTATGAATGTAAACGAAAGGTACTAAAATGGACGCAAATAAATTGTTTGCGTTGTTATTATTGTTGGAAGAGAAAGAACTAGCAATTGCAACCGTCAAAAAGTGCCTTCAATATCACTGTGCAGCGGAGGCTTTTTGGAAATGAAACCAAATTTAGGGAGTATTTTAGACTTTCTACAGATCTTTTTGAATTCGTGTTGAGTTTTATAAAGGACATAATTTCCAAAAAACCTAAAACTAAAGTTATCTGCATTTGAGAATTTATCACTCATTGTTTTAAAAATAATTACAATATAGTCTCCGCACACGCCGAAGATTCCGTTGATATCAAACTCAACAGATATGAACCGACTCGTCGCAACAAATTAGCGGCATGACGCCGTCCTGTGAGGATTTCTTTCGTTCAGCTCGACGACCTTTTTTTAGAAGCTTAAAGATTGTACTCAAGTTGCTGATGAAAACGCCTTCAGAGGACTTTCTATGCTTTTTAGTTGAGCAGCCGCTACTTGGTAGCAAGGAATTAAAAACTATTCGTTTGCCACATTCGAGCATTACTCGCACAACTGTCATATATTCTGGATAAGGGGGTTCAACTAGATATGTTATATAAGCTACTCCAGAGGAAAATCAGAAAGAGACTTCCAAGGAACAATTTTACAAATGTTAAAGAACTTTTAAAGGAAACCCGAAGTATCGAGACTTCCCTATAGGAAATCATGGCCATTAAGCAGTCGCAGCAATCCAATAAGGAATCTGAAGTTGCAAATTCTTTTCAGAAGAATGTCCGCCCGAAATGTACATATTGTCAGAATTTTGAACATCTCCAAGTAAAATGCAGAAAATTTGCTGCTAAGCAAAACGCAAAACGTAAGCTTTAACTCTAGCTCTAATGATAAGGTAAATCATGCCCCTAGTTCTGCCTGTCCAGGCCAAAGTTCTAGTTCTGTTATCTCTTGGTAAGGTTGTAATACCCCAGGGTTTTTACCCTGTCCTAATTGCAAAAATAATGCACAAGTATCATCTTCTGTCTCAGGTGCCGCCTCCTTAGAACTGCTACTTGCGGATCCAAATAGTACCAACAGAAGACCCCTTCTCCCCATAACCATCTTGTTGTGCATATATCGACAGTGGTGCTAAATGCAGCATTGCCGGTAATAGATTATATCGCCATCTTGTGGACCAAAAGATAAATTTTGATACCAAAACCACTACATTAGTACTTGCCGATGAAGTGCCTCGCTCTGTCTGAGCTCATATTTTTCAATGTCCTGTTATTCTGGTAGGTCGAGTAATAACCACAACGTTCATAGAATTCCCCGAATATTCATCTGCAAAGACTCTATTAGGAGTTGATTTTATTACAAATGCGAATTTTCTAATAAATATACCTCCGATGAAATTTTCTTTCTTGAATTTTCCACGTATTCTGTACGATTTCGCAAAAGAACCTAATTTTAAATTTGCTTCAATAAATTTGCTAGAGTTAATAACCTTGCGAGAAGATGAGGCCAATCTATTAAATGAAAGCCACCGCAGTCAGTTGCAAACTCTACTAGAGAAAAATCGAGATGTGTTCGAAGAAAAAACGAACCTTCTCCATATGCGGAACATTGCATAAATCTAATCAATGATTAACCCATTGCCGTACCCCGTACCGTATGACGCCTCAAAAATATGAAGTTTTAAAATCCGAGGTCAATTCACTCCTCGAGAAAGGAATAATCGAGGAGGGCGATTCTCCGTATGCCGCGAAAAGATGACACAGAATGTGCGTGGACTACCGTCGACTCAACGCCATTAGGCTAATCTGGTACACAAAAATATCGCCAATAGTTTGAGATTCTCAATGCTGAAAAATGTTATTTTTGTAGGATACTGAACACAACACATGTAAGCTTATGTACGGATGCGTTATTATTTCAAGTAAAATCCATCCGGCAACGTCACAAATATAGGAATGGTGCGATATCAAGTATATAGGTACCTATAGAAATTTTGTGACTTTCTCATACTAATTTTAAGGTTTTGTTTTGGTTCAAACAGAAGCGTCGATTCCAGTTCTCAAATACAGTAGACAAATTAATTTTTCAAGAACACTTTACGAGGTTATAACAACCTCTTAGCTGATCGAGTGTAATTCAGTGATTCTGAACTAACAATGTTGCCAAGTTGTAATCATTGTACCCCACTACGCGTCGACTACTTTAAACATATTTTTCTTTTAAAAATGTATCTTTTTACC